TGAGAACCACAGTGTAACGTAATCAATGCTACCTGTTATTTGGTTGGACGCCTATGGCGTGTGTGTCATCAATGACATTAAACAACATGATGCGCAAATCAAATCCGGCATTTTGGGCCGAAGATCGTATCCGATAGCACGCTCCAATGCACATACTTGATGAGACGGAAACGAGAGGATGTGTGCTGCTCTCAAGGCATAGCACGAATGGTGTTCGTGCCTGCTTTGACAGTTGTTGTCGATTTTAATGATATTTTGTAAAGTTGAGGTAGAAAGAAATTGGAAAAAGGTAAGGTAAATACTATTGTTGTATATCACACCCGGGCATCGCACTGTTAAGTACATGTGGGAAAGCCAGCTTTTGTCAAATTAATTCAGTACGGTACGTAGTTGCCCATTTACATATTTACTTACCCCATATGGTTTCAAATAGTTCATACACCTCCATTTAAATATTTTTAATCAGTGAGGATATATCCTCATTGCTGTAACATACTATTGCTCATTCACTTTTATTTGCGTATTGAATCAAAAGGTTAACAAGTTCACCTTACATTTCACTCATACCGGTCTATATTGTATAGTCTGATCTCTCAAGTATTTGGAGCCACGAATGCTTGTAATTTTCTGACTAAACCCTTTTATTAGTTGGTTTATATTCCAAATTCAGTAAAACATTTTTTACATAGACATGGGATATTGGATTTATTAGATTTTCCATTCTAAATCATATAGACTGCTTTATTTATTCTTAACGAAAATTAATAAATCTCCTCTCTTTCTTCAGATGTGAAAGTTGTGGACAAACCTGTCTAAGCATTGTGAGACTCCTGCAGCACAAGAGGCAATAGAAAAATAGTAAGTATATCAATCAATAAATCAAGCCTACATTAAGCAAAACTTTCAACTATTCGTACAACCTCAATTCCCTATTATTTATTCACAGGACAACTGTAGCAGAAGGGGAGATATCAGAAGTCTGGCGACATATCAGTGACAGTGTGATTCCAAGAAATATAATTAGAGTACTCCATAAATGTTTGCAGAAGAACAGGCATGCAAAGACATTTGACCCTCCGGTAGAGTTGTGTATGGCCCCCACATCCTGCAGGGCTTGCGGAAAATAACTAAATTCCAAGCGTACGATTGCATAAGCGGTCTTATTTGTAAAAAGGCACAAAACACGCCAGACATACTTAAAACAGCTTTGGAAAATGATGATTACGGCTCACTCACTACACCTGTTTTATATTTGGTTCTTCAACTGTTGGTAGTACTATAGAAGGAATTCAGGAAAGGGTATAATCATGATTCATGATAAATACTGTCATATATTTTGGAAAACTTCAATCTAGACCATGAATGTCAAACTCGCGGCCCCAGAGAACTTCCAGTGCGGCCCTCGAACGCCTAACAATAATTGTTATAGTACTTTGGAAGTTTTTTTTTGTCTAAATGTAATAGTTTTTTCAAACCTTTCGAAGTGAAATTGCTTATTCACACAGAAAACAATTTTCTGAAAGTAGTTTTGGAAATTTAATTTTTTTTCATTCACATTTTGACCCAATTAAGAATACACATCAAGCTAGCAAAGGAATACTTGAATAAAACACTTGAGTGATTAAATCAAACGCAAAGTACATGAAAAAGGTGGCATTTTCGAAAAAAATGGGGTTGCAATATTTCCGCATTTCACAAAATTCTGAGGCACATTGTTTAATTTGTCATATTTCCATCAGTACAATGGAAAAACACAATAAGCTCAGCACTCAATATGAAAAATTCGAAGACAAACTTCGAACAGAAAATTTCCATGTGTTTGCATATTGATATAATTATACAACGACTTAGTTACTAAAAATCAATATCAGTAATAATGCAAGCAATCCTATGTCTCATTTTTTTTTGTGATCTATACATGAAATGATAAAAGTAACTTTTTTGCATTACTGGAATTAATTAAACATTCGCAAAGATTCAGATTAACCCATGATCATGTGACCTCGTTAGTTAGAGTTGGTACTATAAAATCATTTCAGCCTGGCCTTAGTATGCTGGTGACACATAAAAGATGCCAAACGTCAGTACAAATGTAATTAAAAAAACATTGAGTTTATACTGTAGTATTATTGTTAATTTTAGGTCTATATATTTAGATTGAGTCTATGTATTATTCTTTTCTTATCCAAAGCTTGTTCAAAAATGATTTTGATGGTTGTACATAGAATTTTATGATTTTTTGTAATTAATACAGTAACTTGCAATATTAGTGGAATGCAAATATTAATATGTATTTGCATTTGAAATTAAAGAAAATTTTAAAACTTAATCCAACTGTTTAGTTGCATCACTATATATGTCACAAACTAAAACTATCTTTCAAGTATACATTATCAAAAACTGTTTGCGGCCCTTCTTACAATTTCCAAAATGCAATGCGGCTCTCAAAAACCCATGAGTTTGACACCACTGATCCCAAAGCATTGCTTTGGAAAATAATATCACTTCAATTAAATTGAAAAAAATCACGCTATATTGAATACAAAATCGTTGCTATCATAAAGGTAAACCAGCCTTCACAAAGCAATGGAGGCAAATTGAACTCTCTTTCGTTCTTTTCTTTGTCTTGAACTTTCCATACTCCACAGCTCCTATTAGTTTTTTATTTTAATTACCATGTGATGATCCTATATATCTTTAACTTGTATTTTCTGTCATGGTGTATTATCTCAATGTATCGAACTTTCAATTAGTGTGCATATTTTGCTTCCAAATGACATAAATGTTTTGTCTTGTTTATTACCTCAGCTTGGAGTATTGACAAGAAAAAGGTGCCGTAAATTGCGTGAAAAAATTTTTGAAATATAAACAGCCAACAATCAATGAGAATTATATGCGAAATCCCTCAGAATAAATTTGTCTTCTAAAATCGGAGGAAGGCAAAACATATAGGTAGTTCCCATTCACACAAGTCTTTCAAGAAGACTTTCTCGAGCCAAACTAAATGAGCATCGCCAGGTGATCGGTAACGCTGCAAGTTGAATTCGGCCCTGCAACCTCCTGCATAGAAGATAATATTTTTTAGTGGGCCATGAGCTGAATTCCTAAATTTAGACACAATCCTATTTACGAGGCATTATGTACCAGCAATGTTACCTACGATTAACTGAATATGTAATATGTCTAATAAATTCACCTACTAAATAGGTGCGAACCTTGTGTTATGGAATTTTGTATCACGGCACCGTTAAGAGAAGTAAAAACAGTTTTGCTGTTTTGTATAACACCCTCTTTAAAGAAAATTTCAATGTTTAAGTGCAAACATTAAAATTAGTAACTTTGAACTTTGTCATTATCTGCAAAATGTTCCACACAAATCTTTACACTATCGCGTTTGTAATCTTCTCTGATAAAAAACGTCTATGATGTCCAGAATTACTCTTCACAGCTTGTCTGCCATTCCAGCTTTCCAAGTGAGCAAAACTTCTTAGATATAGAGATTATTTTCTTTCGTTACAGGCGCAAAAAGGCAGGTACTACACGTAAAGAAGACGCCGAGTAGCAAAAGCGAGCGGAAAACGGTCGCGAAAGGCGACGAGAAATATGTGCATTGGAGCGTATCATGAAATACAATCTTTCGTCTGTAGTCTTATGGAGTGACGTCAGAGTTGCCTATCATGTTGTTTAATGTCATTGGTGTCATCTACCAGCGCTTAAAATTCAACAGCGCTTCTTATTTCCTATTGTTCCCTACCAATGAAAAATCAGCTTTTACATCGAACGGGTATTCAAGCACAGGCCCTTATTTATTTTTATGTCCTGTTTACACGGGCGGCTATTGAAACGGGCCCTTAATTAAGATCGGGCGTTAAAACGAGCATTTACGGTATTTAAATTTGACATATCAGACTTTGATGATCTGTTCCGTTAAATTAGAACGATATCATTATTGAGCCAACTATTGTAAATCTGTGAATGTAACCATATCAGAATAAAATATATCTGGTGTATAAATGTTATGTACGACATTAAAGATAAATATAATCATCACGCTAACATATTAATTAATGCTCTCAATACAAAATACTTTAATGAGTCCAGCTGAGCTTCAGAATTCTGCTTAAACTGACAAAACAGCTTCAAAACACACAAGCAGCGGTACAAATGAACACCTTTTTAGGTTCAGGTCTACCGTGAAGGAAGCCTACATAGGCAACGCCCAACGTCGTTGATAGTGGCGAGTTAGATCACCGAGGAGCCGCACATTTTTTTTGTATTTGGCGAAATTTGAATTACCGTAAGTGTCCGTAGCGCCAGGTACCGACAATCACAATAGGAAATATCTAGTCTAGGTACAGCAATTTTTAGAATAATATACTGAACTTACAATTTTGCTAAACGTTGCTTAAAGGTAGGATATCACGCGAACATTTTGTGGAAAATTTGATTCTATATAGCCCACTTCGTGTACACGGCTAGCAAAAAGCGATACGACTGTTTTTGTCTCGGATTGAACGTGTAATATCAATATAGATAATGCAGATAACAGGGGTAAGACATTGGCGATAGCAGGGTAGTGCATCGAGATTACAGCTTTGTTATCTGCAGATTTATGCAACTCCACTATCTCCGAACCTGTATCACGAATATTAAATTTGAAATATTTTAAGTTTCGAACAAAATTGGCTGACGGAAAACCTATAGGCAATAAATAATTGTTTAATAATAATGTAAGACATCTCCAAATAATTGACTCCACATTTGTACATAAAACAACAAGAAGTTGGCTTCAAGTACTTTTAATGGGCAGCTGCCTACATTTTGAGATATACTCGATATAGAAATACCTGTAATGAATAAGTAATAACAAATCAATTCGTCTATTACTCGAATTTATGAACACAATTATCAAACATGGTTGATTATAGCAAGTCGAACCAAATTACTTTTAAATAACTTGCAGCCTTCAAGTCATAGACAGTACATTTGTCTATCATAAGTTGAACATGAAATCATTCGTCAATGAAATCAAATCAATTAAATGAACTATAACTGTAAAAACAATCATAAGGCAATCTAATGCTCATAAAATATCCTTAAACTGTGCATATGTGGAGCAATCACAATCTACATTACTTGATCGTGCCTAGCACTCACCCATCCCAATGTCAAAGCAGAAAGTCAAGACCGCTAAACCAATTTCATATTATTTACAACGAAACACGCTCATTCTATACAAAAGTATAAGAACTATTTAAAAGCAAAGTTCCCAAACTATTCCTGACTAAGTAAGACATGTCAGGCAAGACTTTCGTAATAAAGTGTGCACACTGTCAATCAAGGGAATAAATAAATAAATTACTCCACAATGTTCACGTCACTACAAAAATCAAATGAATGCAATTCCAGATGTAACATGCAGCACGTACATTGGAGAAACAGGAAGGCATATGAAATATCGGATCTCGAAACATATTGAAAGTATTAAATCGAAAAACAGAAACCGGGTCGTCGGTGCTCACTTTAAACAACCTGGACATTCACTGAAAATGTAATTGGAATTGAAAAACTAAAGAGTCGTATTTCATTCACCTGGGAGGAAGGAACTATTAAAAATAAATATTAAGGAAATTAGGGCATTTTGGAATATTTTATGCATTGTTTAAATTAATTTTTATTTTCAAATTTAATGCTGTCAATTATTTATACAATCACGAATTTTAGGGACTCTTTAAACTCATATTGTTGTTGCCATACCATTATATAAATATGCATGCAGTTTCTATTCTTGTTAAAAGTTGTACTATGTATGTTTGAGGAAGTCTAAACGTTACAGAAATATATTGTGTTAGTGTGCAATAAAACTATAGTTTCATAATTAAATGCAAAATTCGAACATAAGAGATACAATGTGCAAATCATCAATTAGATTGACAGGAATTTCAAACAATTGATTTAAATGTTATATATAATTGTCACGATATATTTGATGAATAATGCAATTGCTATATGATTTTACATATGTCTTTTCTTTGTACCCAATCCTACGAAGGATTTATAGCAGAAGAATTATGGATTTTCACCAATTTGAGTTTGGTCATATTCTTTCCAACTATGAATTTTTAAATGTCGTTTCAAGTTACCAGGTATTGAAAAACGTCTTTCACATATTTCGCAAGCATATGGCTTCTCTCCAGTATGAGTTCGCATATGCAAATTCCTCTCATACGATGTTATAAACGTCTTTTCACAGGTCCCACAGACATATGACTTTTTACCAATATGGGATCGCTTGATATGGTTTTTCATATTACATTTCTGACTAAACCTTTTCCCACAAATTTCACAAGAATATGGTTTTTCTCCGGTATGAATTTGCAAATGTAGTTTCAAGTTTCTAGGTTGAGAAAAACGTTTTTCACATATATTGCAAGTATATGGTTTTTCTCCAGTATGAGTTTGAATATGCATTTTCCTCTCAACAAATGTTGTAAAGCACATATCACAAGTTCCACATGAATATGGTTTTTCACCAATATGAGATCTTTTCATGTGCATCTTCACAGTACTTTTTCTATTAAAACATTTTCCACATGTCTCACATGAATAGGGCTTTTCCCCGGTGTGAATTCGCAAATGTTGTCGCAAGTTACTGGACTTTGCAAAGCAACGCTCACATATGTCACAAGCATATGGTTTTACTCCGGTATGAATTCGCATATGAACTTGCTTCTCATGTGATGTTATAAAGCATTTGCCACAAGTTATGCAAATATGTGACTTTTCCCCAGTATGGGCTCGCTTTATATGTTGTTTCATAGTGCTCTTGTCTCTGAAATATTTTCCACATGTTTCACAAGAATATGGTTTTTCTCCAGTATGAATTTGCAAATGTTGCTTTGCGTTACCAGAGTAAGCAAAACGTTTTTCACATAAATGACAAGCATACGGTTTTTCTCCAGTATGAATTCGCATATGCATTTTCTTCTCTCTACATGTTGCAAAGGACTTATCACAAGTTCCACAAAGATAGGGCTTTTCACCAACATGGGATCTTTTTATATGCAACCTCACAGTACTTTTTTGACTGAAGCATTTTCCACATGTCTCACAAGAATACGGCTTTTCCCCAGTGTGAATTGTCAAGTGTTGATTCAGGTTACCAGATCGAGAAAAACGTTTTCCACATATTTTGCAACCATATGGTTTTTTCCCAGTATGTATTAGCATATGCATTTTCTTTTCATAATATCTTGGAAAGGGCATGCCACAGGTTTCACAAACATATGGCTTCTCACCAACATGGAATCGCTTTATATGTAGATCCATATTACCTTTTTGACTGAAACATTTTCCACATGTTTCACAAGTGTATGGCTTTTCACCAGTGTGAATTACCATATGTTGTTTCACGTGATCAGATCGAAAAAAAAGTTTTTCACATATTTCGCAGACATATTTCCTTTTTGTTTTTGCTCCATTTTTATAGCCCATGTCCAACTGTTTTCAATGATATTTTATTATTTAAATATGTTAAGCAAATATATCTGCTACACATGTTATGCAGATGAAATATGAAAATTGGTAATTCGTTGGTAATAAATTGATCGCATCAAACATAAGACCAATGCAATGTATATAATTTCAAAATATGTCATAAATAATAACACATTCGTAATTGTGCAACCGACTGCCCCTAGATAGGTGACCATTAGGGCTGGGCATTTCAAATCGAATAGTAAATTATTCAAATCGGTTCAAAGTGAAATTTGGAATCGTCACCATCTTGTTTTTTTTTTTGTAAATTTCTCAATTTTTTCATCGCAACTCTGACATAAGACCTTTTTCTGTAGTGAGATATTACCCAAAACACGTTTTTCATTGTTTGTGAACGCTCAGCAATCTGTCTGGGTAATGTATTTTACGTTTCCAGTAATCAATACTATAAGAAAGTTACATAACATTATATATCTCCTAAGTATTCGAAAACGCCCATCCATATGTTTGAGCCTTTTTATAGGCTTGTCTCCTAACTCGCGTATAAAAATTGTCATAGGCAAACAAATGAGTTCTATACGCAGTCAGATGGAGAATTTCGATTCTAGATAGAAATGATGGGTCACAAGTTCTTATTTAACATCAACTGGTCAACAATTCACTGCATAATTGGCAAAAAAATGAGTTCTATAAGCAGTTAGATTGAGGGAATATTGAGAAAGAATAACTTTGATTCTATATATTAATGAAAGGTCACAACTTATTATTTTAACTTCAATGCAGTGGCAATCAATTGTCAGATTTATTTTTATATGCCGTATGCAAATATATAACTGACTTTTTCCTCATTGTAGAACTCATATATCATTCAAATGACAATTACTACTACAATTTTTTTGCCAGTGTGTACCAGTCACACATAAAATTTTTAATTGCTGTTCTTCGAAGCTCATTCTGCATGTTTTGCAGCAGTAAGTCCGGTATGAATTCTTATATGGACCTTCAACGCACAAGAATGTGCAAAACATTTGCCACATGTCGTACAAGAGTATGGCTTTTCCCCTGTATGAATGCGCTGATGCACATTCAAGCTGTTCCGTGCTGTAAAGCATTTACCACATATTTTGCAAGAATATGGCTTTTCTCCACTATGAGTCTGCACATGTATTTTTAAGCCCCCTGCAAACGTAAAGCTCTTTTCACATATTTTACAAGTATATGGCTTTTCTTCAGTATGAAGTCTGATATGATTCTTCAAACTATTGAGTTGCGTAAAACTTTTCTCACAAATTTCACAAGAATATGGCTTTTCCCCAGTGTGCGTTTGCGTATGCCTGTTCAAATTACTTGTAGTTGCAAAGCAATTTCCACATATTTTGCAAGAATATGGCTTTTCTCCAGTATGAGTTCGCATATGTTTCCTCAAAATACTTGCCACTGCAAAATACTTTCCACAAATTTTGCAAGAATGAGGCTTTTCCTCAGTGTGAATACGCATATGCTCTTTCAGATTACCTGCGGTTGCAAAGCATTTTTCACATATTTTGCAAGAATATGGTTTTTCTCCTGTGTGAGTTCGCATATGCTTTTTTAGATGTCTAGCATGCATGAAACGTTGGCCACATGTTTGACAAGAATATGGCTTGTCTGAAGTGTGAATTTGTGTATGCTCTCTCAAGGTACTTGTGAGCGCAAAGCATTTTCCACATATTTTGCAAGAATATGGCTTTTTTCCTGTGTGAATTTGCACATGCGTTTTCAGATATCCAGATCTCCCGAAACATTTTCCACATATTTGACAAGAATATGGTTTCTCTCCTGTGTGAATTCGTGTGTGGTCTTTCAAATTGCCTGCCACTGCAAAGCATTTTCCACAAATTTGACAAATATATGGCTTTTCCCCAGTGTGAATTCGAGTATGGTTTTTTAAACTACTTGCTACTGTAAAGCACTTTCCACAAATTTTGCAAGAATAAGGTTTCTCTACCGTATGGATTCTAACGTGCTCCTTCAATATACTAGAATGAGCAAAACGTTTGTCACATGATTCACAAGAATAGGGCTTTTCTTTAGTATGAGTCATGATGTGCTTTTTCAAATAACTAAAAAACTTGAAACGTTTGCCACATGATTCACAAGAATGTGGCTTATCGTCAGTGTGAAGTTTCATATGTGCATTCAAATACTTTGAATTTGTATAGCATTTTCCGCATGTTTTACATGAATACTGCTTTTCTAGGTCATTAACTCGCATACGCTGTGTCAATTTGTTGGTTTTCGTGCAAATTTCTCCAGTATTGTACGTTTCCATATGTATGTGTTTTTACTATTCACATTTAAAGAAAATTTTATTTCAAATCGAACCAAACTCATGAAATTTCAATGATGATACTAGTACTAGTTTCAACTGGACAATAATGAACTAAGACACCTTAAATTATTTGAATATTTATGCAGAATAAAAAGAAATTATATATCTTCCATGTGGTTGGAAGAATCTTAATACATCAGTTCTAAAAATATTCCTGAGTATGCATGAATATATTCCCGAGCAAAGAATCATAAAGTGGGAATACAGGAATATATATAATTCAAAAATCAATTTCTATCAAAAATGTATGGAAAATTCAATCCCGGTCTAATATGCCACGAAGGTATTGTATGATCAACATTAAAAGGTAGATGTCTAAACCAGTGATTCCCAAAGTGGGTGATATCGCCCCCCAGTGGGCGAAAACGATACAGAGGGGGCGAAAAAATCGAAGGGGCGATTTCGCAAAACCTGGTTTTGTTCGGCGCATCGTGCACTTGATTACTGTACTCTGCATGCTTTCGTAGGTTTGAATCACGTGGGCGATTATCATACGCGAAAGGATTGCTGGACTCGTTTCCGCCGTAAGGCATGGTAGTTTGCGTATTCCAGTGGTCAACAAAATACGGCCGGAGTAAAATAATCTGACCGGGGACGCTTCACTGAATGGACGTTTCCCCGACCTTTGACCCCGGGAAATTCTTCCTATACTTTACCTTTTAAAATTTTCGGTGCTTATTTTAAGAGTGGTTTCGCGAGTTGTCGCCTGTAAAATGGGGTATTTCAAACTATTATTCTAATTCATACCATTCAACAATTTGTTTTTTGAAATTACCGGTAAAGAATTTTAGCTTAGTCTATCACCAGGGATGGCCATTTCCGAATACTAAACTATTCCGAATACATTCTAAAATAATGTTTTCGAATCTGGAATTCCGAATACATTCTAAAATCGAAAATAACACATTTTTCTTTTAGTTTATTAAAAGTAAAACCCAGTAAATTAGGAAATAAGCTTCAATAGAAATATCAGAATAAAGCCACAAACCAACAGTATGTATGTACATAAAGTAATTGATAGTTTATAGCTATCAATAAAAAATAATAGCAACTTGTGACACAGTAAGTTTATTAAAATTATTCACTTTGTACAAATGACCACATGAAAAGTTAGCCAAGGAGTTGTCTGACGCTTTCTATCATTGGTACCATGATATTACGATAATAGTCAAGTCTATTGACAAAAATACTACTTGTATTCAAATAATTGTGTATATTTTCTATGAATAATCAAATTTATTGGCTGTACAGGCAACTAAAACAAGCAACAACATTCGAAAATCCATTATGCCTTTAAAAATTCTAATATTTAAGCTTAGTGTATTCTACTACCTACCAGTATATTTGTATATTAATTTATGTGAACTATATTGTTGATATGTGTAACATATTGTTGTGTTTGAAATTAGAAATAAATTAATAGAGAATAGATGACCACCACTGCCAGCCGCGCAGCCAGGATTTTCGAAATCGGAAATTCTCATTGCCGCCCGTAACACCCACCGCGATCCGCCCTCGTTAAAAGAGCCGTCTTTTCAGCGTATAATGATCATCCTGTTACATAAAATATTCAATCCATGACAACTACGAGATTCTAAAATATCTTTATATATTAATTTAATGTGTCCAACGTAACTCGCGGTTGCTTCTTCTTACGTCAAAAAAAACATTATTATTCGGTCCACAGCGATCTGTGACCTAAAAGTACGAGATAAACCGCCTGATGTATTTAATTTTAATACATATTTTTGCAATCTTGCCAACTCGGTATCACCGTTAGAAAAATCTCAAATAATGATATAAAATCCTGTTAAGTGTAGTGTATAATTCATTTCATACAATGAATATACATTTAAGTTTAGCAGTAAATTAAAAATACATATTCATCGCCGCGATGAAGTGATCAGATCGAAAAAAAAGTTTTTCACATATTTCCTTTTTGTTTCTGTTCCATTTTTATATCCCATTTTATCCCATGTCAACTGATTTCAATTAATTTTAATATTAGTTAAGCAAATATATCTGCTACACATGTCGTGTCGATGAAATATGAAAACTGGTAATTTGTTTGTAATAAATTGACCGCATCAAACATCAAGGATGCAATTAATATCAAATTAATAAGTGTGCAACCTGTTAATCCTTGTTAACCCGTGTTAATCCTAACCCCACCTGACCACACCATCCAAAAATTACGTCACTACAACGTCACAATCACGTCATAGAGCTTGCCAAATACCCGTACAATCGCCCGAAATGGAATATTCTAGAATAATAGAATATTCTAGAATAGTTAAATCGAATCCAGAATCCTATTCTATTTTCATACTTATTCAAATAGTGGGAATTTCCACATTGCTGGATTTAGATGTAAAATTGCAATGTATTACCTACTATGAATGTATTATTTATTTGGAAATGTCCTGAACATTGTATTTCATTTGATACTAAACAGGCATTTCCCAGGACAATAAAATTGAGGAATATTACAATCTTTTTTGTCTCCAATTTTTCCAAATGTATGTACCGTATATGATCGCGAATAGGCCGAGTTTAAAACTCAAAAAAAAAGTTGCCAAACTAAGGGACCGTCTTATTCGCGCACAACTCAGATTGCACCAAAAAAATCGGCTCATTCGCGCATCAGAATTGATCATGCAACGAGATGATATTATGCTAACTTGCCGGTAATTCCAAAAGCTTCAAACCATACCAAGTTCTCACGATAAAAAGCGTGCACACACACACACACAACAGCTTGTGAAGGTGGATTGTCTTATCATACAGCTGATGGCTTGTACAGTCTGTGATTGGTTGTTCAACACGTGACGCTTGTACAGTCTGTGATTGGTTTGTTTTCGCTTGTGTTTCTTTTACATAACAGCAACAGTGGCAATTAACGACGCGCGACTTTTAATCACCTTTATGATATGTTATCTGTTAAGTGGCGGTGATAAGGACTCTTATCGAAGTTAACCGCGTTGTGGACGATCAAAGGAAATTGTTTTATGCTGACTCAGGGACTCTCTTAAACTCCCGACAACAATCTCTTCCATTAATACAAATCACGACGTATGAAAAGCAATATAGACTTTATTAATATGAATTTACAAGTAAGAGTTACGAGTAAGAATCTACGGTCGTCGCTAACAAACAGAAATGATAAACGTGAGAAATATTTGTGTTACAGCAATTTTGTTTTCTTTCTGCGCCTTTCTTAAGGCGTCTGGGGTGTTAAGATTCGTAGCGATTTATAAGAATGTGTTAATACAGCGTTATTTCTTTCCTTGGAACAGACAAGGAACGAAATTAATCGCCGTTGTGGCTCTCAAAGGAAATTGTTTTATGCTGATTCAGGAAAACTCCCGACGCATTGAAAAGCAATATAGACTTTATTAACATAAATTAACAAGTAAGAGTTACGGGTAATAATCCACCTACGGCCTTCGCTAACATGCAGAAACGATAAACGTGAGAAATGTTTGCGTTACAGTAATTTTGTCCCCTTTTACGTTTTTCTTGAGGCGTCCGGCGTGTAACGATTCGTAGGACCGGCTTATGTGCGATTTTTTAAAAAATCGCCGTTTTAAGGCCGTTTTTAGGGAGTCGGCCTGTTCGCGATATAGGCGTAATTTCGGGAAAATACGGTAATCCCTATATACTAATAAATACTGATATCCTAAATTAAGACACGCTTTACACACTTTAATAGTAAGCGGTTAAATACAAAAATAGACATGAAACGGCGTTAAATAATTATTAATGTAAGTCTGCCGAGTGTACTGAAACACACCCGCTGAGAATTAATTAGATGCAGAACCAGCGTGTGGCCACTGCAACCTATGCGCCGTTGTAAAATATTAAATTTAACCACTATCAATTAAACTCAACTTTTTATTCTGTGCGAGCGAGACACGTAAAACCAAGTTCCCGTAAACCCGATTTCGTACTTAGTTATTAGGTAATAACATCTAAAGACCAATTCATTTTCTATGATTATCGTTACATATCATTATCTAGCCAGACTTGGCCCTACTCAAATTCAATACGTTACTAGCTTCGCCAGATGCGGCAACTTTTTTTAAAATTTATCGGCGACTAAAATATTACAGACACTCGATCAAACGTGCGTCTATCTTGAACGATAAAAACGTTATCATTAATCATTATCTACACAGACAAATTTAAATGTGACAGATGTTCGCGTTTGGCGATATAACTTTGTATTTCGGAAAATGGTATGATAAAATTATTCGTAAATAATATTTGATCTAAATCAATCGCAAGTAATGTTATAATATAACATTTAATGCCTGGCTTTTGGTTTACGTGCATAATTTTTTGGGAAAACTCGTAGGTCGCGAAGGCACGTCTGTAAACAGTTAAAGATTGTTGCATTCAGATTATCGGAATATCATCAGTAAGTCGGCACAAATAATTATTATTATTATACGCTAGCTAGATAGCAAAGCGGAAAAACGCAAAAATGGTGCAAAAACGAGTCTTCGCCGTGAGGTTATATTGCCGACATCTTGTCCTGGATATGCCGATTGAAATTACAGTATCTGATGTTTACCGATTTACGAGTTCTTTGCGAGCAGATACAAGTTCAATTAAACGAGAGAGATTCCCACGCGAGAAAAACGGTCGTCTATAATTGATAAATTAGAAACCCGAAATACAAAAATTGACGCATGGCGCCGGAGAGGCGGAAACCGAATCCTGTTATCGAATCCCGTTGGATTCGAATACTTCGGGATTCGAATCCTCCGGATTCGGTATTCTATATTGCCCATCCCTAGTCGTACTGACGTAATTTTTGGATGGTGTGGTCAGGTGGGGGTTAGGATTGACACGTTGAAAAATTGTTATGCTACGCCTACTAGAAGTACATTAGGTACGGAGCTACATGGCAATCCTCATGAAATTATTAATTTGGTGTGGCAGAACAATTTATTCATTTTTTTTCATTTGTTTGTATATTTTCCTTTTTACTGAGTAATTTAATTGATTTTAAGTCTCGCTTTTTTTTTATCTTCCGACAGTATCATGTCTCGATGATTGCGTGTATGTGTG